CCCAGCACATTTTCTAGGATTTTGGATTTTTTTTCTCCAGAGTTGGGGAAATAAGGAAATTTTCGGGGAAAAACTAGCTATCAAAAAGAATAAACTTGACTTCAAATTACTTCTTAATTAAAATTATCTATTTCTCAATATTAAATACAGAATGGACTGCAATTTTTTGATGAAAACCATGAGTGCCCGGGAAGTAACAAAGGCAAATTTTTTTCAACATTCAAAAATGTTTTCCCCACGAGTAACGCTGGGCACTTTGGCTAGTATTTTTTATTCTCTGCACCCTTCCCTTGATGTAAGAATAGTCTGTGTAGGGTTTATTGTATGTGACGGAAGAATAGTTTCAAGATCATCGTATCGGAGTAGTTCCTCTTCTATTTCAAGGCTGAGAAGGGGATCAATTCTAGCAAAGGATCCAGGTTCAATCCTTGCAAAGGATTCAGTGTCTAATCTTCCAAATCCTACAGATTTCAGACCATAAACCTGAAAATTTAATAAAAAACAGTCATTTCAAAGAAAAAGTTGAAATTTGTTAACATACTAGATTACAATAAAAAACATATTACAGGGGGCATATGATCAATTTTGAAGTCATGATGAATGTGTAACACTGCTATTGTGCAATGTACACTTTACAAGAACCATTATGAATAGTAAAGATTTGGGTAAAATTATTTTCTTCACAACACCATCAAATATCCATCATATTGATAAAATGTCATCCTCTAATGTTAGTACTTATGAGTCTCACTGTATTTTAATGCAAATCAACTTGAAAAGTAACAATTATCTCTCGAAATTATTCAATATTTTGACCTGAGATATATATGAAGGTTGTATCTCTGAAATGAACTGCGCAATATCTATTCCTATTAGATGAAACAATTCTATAAGTTGATGATCAACACGGTTTCCTTCCTCAACGCCGTACAAAATCCGCAAAAAGTCCTCCAAACTAAAATAAAATACAGGTGAATTAATATAAAGGAACCCTCTAGAATTGCATGCAGAGACACAATGAATTAACAATTCTCCTGTCCAAATAGAAATCTTGGATTTCTCAGCCAAGGGTTCAGTGCTTAGGATCCGGATCCGCAAGATTTTGGCTTCCTGGATCAGGATCCAGATCCTCAAAAATATGCGGATCCACGGATCCGGATCCAAGGGGTAAAATATCAACCAAAAACTGCATAAAAACTTTGCTCCTAAAACCCCAATCTGAACTTTTGAAAAAAAAGAGATTATATAATTTCCTCATTTCTGAATGGTTTATCAAGTTTTAGGATCCGGATCCATTTTTTTAAAAGTGCGGATCCAGGATACGGATCCGCATCAAATTTAAATGGATCCTTAGCACTGGTTAAAAGGATAACATAGTGCATTGTATCCTTTTAACTCTTATGAATTACATTAAATCTATCCAGTAATCTTTAAATAAAAGAAATAGTGAATAAAAATTTATAAATTCCTAGTTCTAGTAGATTCTAGCTCATGGCTATGACTATTGCTATTAACTATGGGTATGGTTATCACTATTGGCTACGGCTGTTATTATTTTACCACTTACCACTTATTATCAACATCTGGAATGATGAGAATTGCATCATCTTGCTCCTGGTCCAAATCCTCGAAAAAAAATCTTGTTTAAATATTTTCAGATTTTGCGTTTACCTATATTGACTTTTAATTGCAAATTCAAACATTCCAAAAAAAATTATTTGTAACAAATAAAAATAAAAAAAATTGTTGAAAACTGGCGAATATAAATACCTTAAATATATTCTCCAAAAAGCTACTGAGACTCGCTAAAATTATCCTAGAAAAGTAATTTTTTGACCACACAATTCTTAATCCTTACATTCCAATATCTCAAGAAGTTTTCATGTAATATGTATTAAAAACACATCTCACTTCCCGTAAGTAGGGGTGCACCACAAAAATTTTCCTATCTTTTAAAAACATATGTACCTATGGGTTGAGAATACTCCACGTCCGCATGAAATCTGAAATTGTACAAAATATTGAAAAAATTACATTTTGTATTCAAATGTACATCTCGATATACATTTTCATAAAATTTTTGTTAAAAACTATGCATTTTCGTAAAAACTATATATTTTGTTAAAAACTATGCAAATAAGTCACCTGAACATCGCTTGTAGATTTCAGATTAGAGAACGTATCTTTAAACTCCGACAAGATACTGAACCTAGCCTGAAATTTTTATTTTTTAAAAAGTGGAAAAAGAGAGGATTAGTTTAACTATGGAAAACACGTTTGGGTGGCGGTGATTACCCCCCCCCCCCCCCTAAGGGGGTCCAAATATCGTACAGTAGGAAATTACCTCAGAAAAATACATACCTTTAATTGTACCATAGTGCATATATGATGGCAAGCATTATTTAGTATATTCTGGAAAAGTAACATACGATTATTATATTTACCAAAAATCGTTCTCTGGGACGGACCCAACTTTAAATGTAAAAAGGGCTTGATTATGAAGAAATTATAAGTGCGCGTTTACATTCTACATCTTCTACAGCTGGGTCTGTCCTAGTATACGATTTTTATGTCTATTTTATGTCTATATTTTATCAACCACAAAACAGTAAGAAAAAAATTTTCATTTTTATTTCACAAGTTTTTTTTAAAATGCCCTAAAAAATGATAAAAATGAAAAAAATTTTCATTTTTAATGACTTCAATGATAAAATCCCAACTTTAAATGTAAAAAGGGCTTGATTATGAAGAAATTATAAGTGCGCGTTTACATTCTACATCTTCTACAGCTTATACAGAAAGAAGAGGGGTTTTCTCTCTCTTTCAAAGTTTTATTGAACAAAATTACAGTAAAAATCTTTATATGTATAATAAAATGTAAACAACTAAGAGGGTTTCTCTAAAGTAAACAGGTAAAAATTTTCTAAACCTTGAAGTTTTCACTAGTCTTAGCGGCATTCTGCGCTCTACTTAGCAAAGACGATTAAAACAGGTAAACAGGGATAAATAATATTAGGCTTACTTTTTAGAAAATAAAAAAAAATTTATGAAATCTGATCAAAACTAGCCCTTGTGGATTAAATATGTTTTTTTAAAACTCCCCTCCTTAATTTTTTTAAAAAGTTAAAATCTTTTTATTTTTGCGGCATTCGCTCTCACTGAACAGAAATAGGTCAAAACAAAGATTTGAAAATGTTTTTAAGATATTTGGCCTTTTTAAAACTCTATCTTATGCAAAACCAAAGGATACCAACAATCCGTCCAAACAGCGTCAAATTAAACTCCTTCCTTCAGTTCAGTTCTATATCTAGCTTATCTTAAATTACGCGACCGAGATTTTTGCTGCCGTGCAATGGGCGCTGCGTATTTGGACCGAGCATCGCATTTTGTTCAGGCTAAAGAAACGAGATTTTTTTGTTATTGTGAAGCACCGAGCCCTTTTAAACATTTTATTTCAGGTTTAGAATGGGAGGGCTTGTGAGGAGTAGTGGCGTATGGAAGTCAGAAACTGGAGTATTAACAAACTTTGTATATTTTAAGCAGGAATATAAACCATTTTATCATATATTTAAATCAACTATTTACAACACTATTATTTTGGTTCGTAGTGTTAAAAAGTTTCTGGGCAGAAATTTCTCGTTATCGAGATTGTACGTGTCTTTTTAGCTAGTCTATACGGCGAAAACCTTCAGAAATAAATCAGTCCAAAACCTTCAATTATTTTTCTTCAAATTTTTATTAACGAAAGAAGTACAAGTACAGTANAGTTTTAAATGTTGGATTTAATAAACTAGAATAGTATCAAATAGTCAACAGAATAATCATGAAAGATGTACAAAGATAAAATTGATATATTAAAACATCTCCTCCAATTTATAAGCATTATTATTCAAGTAAGAAAGCCCTTTGTTATCACCAAAGGATATTTGATTTAATTTTAATTCAATTTGAAAGTATTCCACTTCAGAATTTCTAATCTTTTTAAGCTTTTTAAGAAAGCAAAAATAAAAATATAAAATAAAATTTTATTTATATTTATGTTGAAAAAAATATTCAGGAAATCTCCTAAATTTTTTAGAGAAACTCCGTGCGATAATGTACAGCTATTTTAACTTCATATATATAGCACGTTCATAATAAAATTCACCATGAAGTGAGTAAGAATAAAGTACACAAAAGTTTCATAGAATAGTGTCAGAAAAGAAAATAGAAATCGCTAGTTAAAAGCATTCTTTAATCTTAAAAATACATGTTTACATTTTTTCGGTATGTAAACATGTAGGTAGTGGGGAAGGTGGTCCGATTTCTGCGGCTAAGACAGGCATTGGCAAGGGGGCCGAGCGCTGAAGCTAGGAAAGGCTATGGGCCCTTGAAAAATTGAAATTTCATTTATATTTTTTTAGTAAGGGGGGGGGGTGTAGAAATCGTTCTCTAGAAAATTTCCTGTTTATTTTCAAACATTTGGTTATTTAGCTTTTTCCTGTTCATGAGTTGTCAAAAAACTTTCACATGAAAATGTACACAAATCCTATACCCCGACATTAAATGTACACACCTTGATTAAAACTATGGTTAAATATATTCTGCAAAGGATGACGAGGAATTAAATATATCTAGTGTGTATCTAGATCTCACTTCTATACAGAGTTTAGGATGCACTGCTGTTAATACCTTCAACTTTACCAAACCATACATTAGGTAATTATTTGAGGATATATTTCCGATATCAAATGGTCTGTATAGTGAATATGTAATTTCTGTATGATTAAGTTTTTAAGTTTTTAGTTTATTTTTGAAATTGACATTTTGATTTCAGCAATAGTTTGATATTTATCAAGTTAGAAAAAGAGTTAAAGTTATGTCTGAAGTCCCTTTTTAAATACCAGGAACTTAAAACGCTTCGCTTTGGGTAAATGATTCGACTTAGGAGATCGATAATGCTTTTATCTGTTGCAAATTAGAGTGGTTTATACCAGATTAACAATGGTACCCCTATAACCTCTATTAGAGTGTTATGGAGAAAGAATCGCTGTTGTATATCCAAAAAAAATATTTATTTCTGCTAATTTTCCTCAATATTTGTGCAATATAAAACCGCAAGTATGGAAGAACCGCAATTGAATGTAATCAATTTTATGCAGAAAAATGCAGAGTAAAATTGGTGAAAACTATAAAATTATTTTGTTCTGTTTGAAAGCTGAATCAAAACAAAGTTGATCAGGATTAATGGTTCTTGCTATTGCAGGATTTTAGACTGTTTGGAAGAAAATCCCAAATCCTTGCTGGCAAAAGAAATATTTGGAAGTTTCTTACAATCCTTGCAGGTCTAGTATTAAAGGTTTATATTTTCGAAAGTAAATCATGAAAAGGGGTGTAAGTTCATATTTCATATTCATATTTTTATTCAACTACAAAGCAAGAGATAATACAAATAATAAATCACAATTTACTATGTAGTTTGGACCCGCCTAACCAGAGTTGGTTGTTTTGATTGGTTGGCCCATTATAAGCGAATAAGAATTGTAAATAAATAGATGGATGTACACTGTACAGTGTACATTTTAAACAAAACAATGATGATAAATCATGAATAGGGTAAGGAGGGGGTGAAAAAGTATAAAGGAAAGTTGTAGATCTGAAAAAAGTAAAAATAAAATTGTACATCATAAGGCAAGTTTTTTCATTCAATCAACCAGGGTATTGTTAACTGATTTGGGGTAAATTAATGATTGTTAGGGAAAAATGAATGAGTTTTTATGAATTCTCTTTGTGAAAAAATGAAAATTTGACATTGAAAGGTGAAGTTTTTTCATTTTTTTGTTGCATTTTCCCCATAAATTCATTTATTTTCACCTAAAAGTCATTAATTTACCCCAATTCAGTTGATAATACCCTGAAAATATATATATATATATAGAAATGCACAAATTTTGTAATTGATTATATATAAGAAATTGATTATCGCAAAGGATACGGATCCGCATCAAATTTAAATGGATCCTTAGCACTGGTTAAAAGGATAACATAGTGCATTGTATCCTTTTAACTCTTATGAATTACATNATGAGGTAAAGGAAATTATCAAGGAATCCTCAACATTGGACAGATTAATTGATATTGCAGAGGATACAAAGGTGGGATATTATGCTGCAGTATTGGACAGATTAATTAATATTGCAGAGGATACAAAGGTAGGATATTATGCTGCAGTATTGAACAGATTAATTGATATTGCAGAGGATACAAAGGTGGGATATTGAAGATGATACAAAGGTGGGATATTATGCTGCAGTATTGAACAGATTAATTGATACTGCAGAGGATACAAAGGTAGGATATTATGCTGCAGTATTGAACAGATTAATTGATATTGCAGAGGATATAAAGGTGGGATATTATCCTGCAGTATTGAACAGATTAATTGATATTGCAGAGGATACAAAGGTGGGATATTATACTGCAGTATTTAACAGATTAATTGATACTGCAGAGGATACAAAGGTGGGATATTATGCTGCTGTATTGAACAGATTAATTGATACTGCAGAGGATACAAAGGTGGGATATTATGCTGCTGTATTGAACAGATTAATTGATATTGCAGAGGATAGAAAGGTGGGATATTATGCTGCAGTATTGGACAGATTAATTGATATTGCAGAGGATACAAAGGTGGGATATTATGCTGCAGTATTGGACAGATTAATTTATATTGAAGATGATACAATGGTGGGATATTATGCTGCAGTATTGGACAGATTAATTGATATTGCAGAGGATGCAAAGGTGGGATATTATGCTGCAGTATTTAACAGATTAATTTATATTGAAGAGGATACAAAGGTGGGATATTATACTGCAGTATTGAGCAGATTAATTTATATTGCAGAGGATACAAAGGTTTTAATTAGTTTAATTGGTGTGATTATGTTTATATATCACGGGTGTGATAATTTAAAACATCTCTTTTCCGACTTCATTGGCCGTTCAGGAATTTAGCCAGTTATCGAGCTTGTTTTTGAAAATGTTCAGGTTTCCAGCACTTTTGATTTCATATGGAATATCATTCCACATATTGATACTGATAACTCTTGCACTAAAAAAGTTTCTTCGTATTTCGGTGTGCACAACAGGTAACTTCAGATTCAAAGGATCACTGGACATTCTGGTTTGTCTTTCATTTTCACCAGGTGCATAGGCTGAGCTAATCCATTTGTTTTTATCCACATGATCATGTCCATGATGGATTTTCCAGACTTGAATCATATCTCCCCTATTTTATATTTTGAATTTTTTTCTGTACTTTATTTTTTGTAAGGTATCCTTATACTATATTGTTTTTATTTATTTTTAATTTTTTTCTCCTTTTTTATTACAATTTTTTTTGTGCCTCTTTCTTATAAAATCTCAGTGTTGTTAGTAACTATGGTTAGTAGCTTAGGTTTGGCTAGGTTTAAATAGGTTTGGGTTAGTAGTTTTAGTTATATGGATAGTTATTGCAGAATAAAGAAATTCCCTGTGCTATCTGGACAGAGGGGTGTACCGAAGAAATAAAAATTAGTTGGGTAAACTTTACTGCTAAAATTTTAGGTTTAATTCCATTAAATTTGGTACACCCTGTCCTAAATGTAGTGGATATTATTTGACTTGGCCTCCGATACTTCAATCTCAATGGGATATTATTCTGCAGTATTAAGCAGATTAATTATAATGAACAAATTTGCTGTATGTTATAGAGTTTGAGCCTAAATTTTAACAATTTTATATGGCAGGGTTGTATGTTATGTTGTTGATCTTCCATTTCTTTCATTATTTTCTAAACCAATAATTTTTTAGAATTCACTCGTGGTTGCCTTTCTTAATAGTTTTACCGCATATACATTTCTTCTATTCTCCTAGAAAACTGTTTAATATTTTTTCTGATTTTAGGAACCTGATTTTTCTTTCTCTCATGGCGGTCTCTTCCTACAAACTCTTCAAGAGGGAGGCAGCAAAGTGGAGGATGGAGTTCATCAGAGGCCAGATAGAGTTCATCAGAGGCCAGAGGATGATGTAAAAATAGATATAAAGATTCATAGTGATGAAGAATACAGAGATGACGAGGATGACAGAGAAAATCAGTATCATGAGGTAAATTCAATGTTCATGAGACCCAGGACTGAATTTAATCAATTTGAGATACGACGCTAAATTACTTACTACTGGTTCAAATTTAACCACCGATTCAAAGTTAAAATATTAAGAAAGGATTTGAATCAGTGATTGAACCGGTGGTTGGCAGTTCAAATTCATTATTTTCGGTCTTATATTTCAAGTTCTTGTGCAGGGTTAACGAATTTTTTTTTTACAAGATAAATATGAAAATATGATAAAGAGTATTAAATATTTCTTCCAAAAGTTTCAAAACCAAAAATATTTTACTTAATTTTCAGAGAAAATTTCCATATCTTTTCAGTTTCGTGGATTAAAGCACATTTTTCTATTTGATTTGAAAAGTATATGTTTTTAAATAAAATTTTATGTTCGGTTATCAAATAATATTTAAATTAGTTTTATAGTTTATTATCTTTTGATATGGTCATAGGTTGTCCCTAGAAGTCTGATTGATCGATTGATTGATCTTTATAAGAAAGTGAATTAGTCGACTCTATTATAAATAATGATAATGAATTTTTTCTGTTCTCTTTGATTTAAATTGAATCATTATATAATTTATATACCCACCACGTCCACAATATATTATTGTTTGTATTTTTTTGTGAAAATTTAAGACATTTTTCCCAAACCTAGTGAATTTAAACAACTGTTGAAAAGTACAAATACAGGGGAATTAATTGCCCCGAGAAAAAAGAAAACTAAAAATACTTAGTTTTTAATTAATTTGCTTTTCTTTTCAGGATTTGAGTTTTGATGGATCACATGGTGATGAGAATTTGGAGGAGGAGGAGAAGGGAGAGATAAGAAAATACGAGAAAAGAAAACCCTATCCTCCAACCCTGTCCGAGAAACGATTTTTAGATCGGTGCTCACAATTAGGTTACATTGATTGATTGATTGGTTGATTGATTGATATGCGTTTTGCCGGAATGGCAAAAAAGATTATTGGTTTGGTGGGGAAAAATTGGGAGGAAGAAAACAGAAGGAAGGAATGATCTAGTTGAAGTTGATATGTATGAAGGTGGGGGTGGTAGCTGTTGTATCCAATCTATCTAACACTTTCCATCTTAAACTTTTTATCTTTCCTCTCTGCTATTTGGCTGTTTAATGAGCACTATGATTTATTGTTTATAATCCACGATCACAGGTAGAATAAACTCGCTTTAAAGTAAGCCAATTGCGAGAGGCTTAGTGGGATTTCTTAGCAACACTACATGATGGGACCACAGTATTGGAAAGAGAATCAGCAAGATATAGAAGTTCAGAACAGAGATACAGATATAATAAATACGTGTGTAAAGACTATGGAGAATATTTAGTTTAAAAATGTATAATAAAATATGTATATAAAAACTATGAAGAATATGTAGTTTAGTGGGTACAAATGTTAATAAGGGGAGAAGACGACATTTTGGAAGGAATTAGTGGATTACTGTTAAGTTGGGATAGGAGAGAGAAAAGAGTATAAAAATCATCATTGGAATCATTCAATACTCTGAAACAGCGTTTTGTAAGGGAAAGTGCTGGGGGGTGAGATTGCCTGGGGCCAGACATAACTCCAGCGATTTTCTTAAAATAACTAAGCAAAAACATCTAAAAATGTATTACGGAATAGACTTGTGCTTTTACCTGGCTGGAACTACAGGCTGATTTAACAGTGGTTTCTTGGTCCTCTTGAGAAGATTTTTGATTATTTGAGAAAAGGAATGAAAAATTGGGTCCAATATGCATGTTTTTTTTTCAGTCTTTCTGATTCTTCTTACCTAAAAATTCAATTGATTCCCCCCAAAAATCGACTATTTCCGCCCCGGGTAAACATAAAGAACTACTGTGGGTAAAAATTATTTTCATAAATGAAGGGAATGCTTTGAAGAAAAAAATTAACACCCTCAAGGCGGACAACCGGACAACCGTTTTCCCTTCCAGAGCATTTTTTTTTTTTGGTTTGAAATAGTAAGTTCAAGCTTTTTTACTTATAATAATGTTTCCTAGTTTAAATACATTTGAAAATAGGTCATACAACAATCGCTGTCTCTTTCGTTCTTCATTAAAACAAAACAAAAATGTATGACTAGGTTTTTTATTCATCCCCCACCCCCACCCCTCACTTTTTGAATATTATAAACCTTTACCCAATTATTTTTATAATTTAAATAAATTTTTTTATTTTTTTTATAAATTAGGTGAATGTGAGGATTTGGAGGTTTATTTTTCTTCACCTAACTTGGATCTCGGAGCTATAACATGCTTTCTCTGTAAAAAAGTAAGTCATTTAATTATGGTCAAGAATTATGGTATTATATTTAGATCAAATGTATTATTGTCAAGTTAATGTAATATCATTATTTTTTTATTTAATTTTTTATGATTTTCATAATTTTGACATTGTTATCTGCAGTTGGTTTTGTTTTCATCATTATCATGATTTTCAACATCATTTGTTTTCAATATTTCATTGTTTTTATCTTAGGAGCTTACCTCATCAATTGTACAAAGGGCAAGTTTACGAATATGTTTAATAGACAGGTATTTATTTACTCTTCTTATTTTTCAGTTTTTTATGATTATATCTATATTTTCTTATAAAAGCAAAGCCAAGTGGCAGCTTGTCATAACTCTGTAACAGGGGGGGAGGGCCGGATTTGGATGTATTGTATATCCCCTCCCCTTCCTCTTAAGCCCCCCGAGCCAAGGTTGGAAAATACTACTTAAAATTTGGTTTCTTTATTCATAAAGTTTCCACTTGGATAATTGTTCCTAGAGGTTAGCCCCTGTAATCTTATATGCACATAGATTAGTTGACCATATTCTAGTTAAACACTACTAGACCTACGCCTACCAATGCCAAGTTATCTTATATGTATATAGAGTAGTTGACCATATTCTAGTTAAACACTACTAGACCTACGCCTACCAATGCCAAATTATCTTATATGTATTTAGAGTAGTTGACCATATTCTAGTTAAACTCTACAAGACCTACGCCTACCAATGCCAAGTGTGTCAAATCTTTAATCTTATATTTACCTAGGGCAGTTGACCATATTCTAGTTAAACACTTCAAGACCTACGCCTACCAATGCCAAGTGTGTCAAACCACTTTCAACTCACCTAAACCCTGGAAGGACCACGTCAAGTTAGAACATTTTTTATTTAAATATTATTTAGAACATTTTTAATTAAATTTTATTTAGAAGATTTTTATTTAAATATTATTTAGAACAGATTTTATTTGCATATTATTTAGAAAATTATTTTTTGAATATAACAAAAGTTCGATGTTTCCTGATTAATATGCAGTTATATCAAAAATTGATAAGAATAAATTAAATGAAAATGAAATTTAATAGTATAATGATCGGTATTTATCATATCATATCTGTTCGGTTCCATAGTATCGTGCAAGAACTCCCATTAATACAAGGTTTAAGGAGATTAAATTTCAATATTGTAGGCTTCCTAGCATTTAAAAGTGCTTATTCTTACACTGAAGGTTTAGAATTTTCATTCTTTTACGCTCAGACTGTTTAAGAATGGAAATTATTTCAGAGCGTGAAAGAAGAATAGATCAATATTGACATTAAATTAGTTATTTCGTAATGACAACATGCTCTCTTACCTTTTATTTTATATTAAAGGGAGTGTTCGCGAAAACTGAAAGGGGGTATAGGCTTAATGCGATAAAAAGCGCATTCAATCGCTACTAATCTTACTTCTATCTGTTGCGTCTATAAGGAGAAAATTGTTAAAAACGTCTCATACCGAATAACATGGCGTCCATACAAATTGAGAAAATTGCAACATACGACTTAGACCGTAAAAAATCAATGTAATTTCAAACAAATCATTCAGATATTACAACCTATAGTCATCAATTATCTTTCGCCACATTTGTATATATTTTATATTTCATACTAGTTTTGATTTTGTTTTTTAAAATAATATTTACAACTTGTTTTCGAACATTCTTGGAAAATATGAAAATGTCGTCTTCATTACTATACATCCTCGAAGCAGGAATAAATGTTTTTATAAGTAACTCTCAGATCATAACAATTAAAACATATTATGAAAAAAAATAAATGTGGCGAAAGATAATCGAGACCTTTAATGAATTAATAAAATAATGAATAGGCGAATTGATGAATTAACAAATTGATGAATTAAAATTGATAATTCATTTTTTTTATTTCAGGACGAACTGTGATAAAAGAATGCTGTCTAACCTGGGCAAATTTGTCTGCAAGAAATGTAAACAAAGATTTGAAACCAAGGAAACTTTTTTAGAAGGTTTTCAGTATTTTAAACTTAATTTTTAATGTTGACAAAATTCCCCGACATCTTAATTTTGTAACAAAAATGTGCACTTGCCTCAAACTATGATTTTGTAATCCCTTTATCTTTGCAACCTGATGGTGTAGACCTTTGATATTTCAGACTTGGACTAATTGTTCAAGGGGAACTTTAAAGTTAAAATATCTACTGTCCACGACACCAGATTGCAAGGATCAAGGATATAGAAAAATAACTAGATATATTGGAAAGTGCTCAGAAGTTAAAACTTTTGTATTGTGCATATCGGGATCAAGCATTGATCTCCATCTTACGCAGATCTACGGATAAAATTGATTCTTCGATATCCTGGAGTGGTCATACCTTGCAGGGATTACAAAAATGAAAGAATCTAACATTAATCCTCAAATATAAAAGTCTCCACATTAATTTCGAGATCAAGTTTTCAAGGGCAACAAAATGCCACACAAAAGTTTCGATCTCAGTTTCTTTAATCATAAGTTTCAATGTTGAGAAATCACCTTTTGTTTTCAATTTGTAAAATACTTTTTTCTTAAAAAAAAGATTTATTAGACTGAACTGTACTCTCACGTAAGTACCTGCCATGATCAGTATTTAGCGGATTTACTAATCTGTTCCAGCTGTGGACTCATGTTTAAAACAGAAAAATGTCGGGTAAGCAAATCTAAACAGATTTTAAGTGTTTTGTATTCCCTTGTTTTTACTATGGTTGTTGCTTCATCACAGCCTACTGTTAATTTGTCCTACACAATTTTTATATCGTATCAAAACAAAAGATGAATTTAAAATGCTATTGTGTGAGGGGAGTAAGGCAAGCTGCATCCTCATCGCCTTCATCCCGCAATTTACTCACAAAGTTAGAGTTGCGGCAACGCGCTTCCTAGCCGCACCCCTTTATTATCCGGCTAAATGTTTTTCGACTTTCTACTAAAATCACGCCTGATGATGTTGATTTTCTCCAAAAATGTTTTTGAAGGAAGAAAGAAATTCAATTTTTACCAGAAAAAAAAACACAGTTTTGCGTGCAATTCGGTTTAAAATTATGAAAATCTATCTATCTATCTTCTTTTCTGATCTTAAATAATTTAAAACCGAATTGCACAGAAAACTGCGATATTTTTGGTAAAGATTGAATTTCTCCTTACTTTCAAAACATTTTTAGAGAAGATTAACGTCAGCAGACATAAAAAATATTACAATAAATCAATAAATCACAGTGTTTAACAAAAATGTAACAAATATTGCCCCAGTGAGCGAGAAAATTTACTTAAATTACCAAAAAATCTGATTGATATGTTTAGGTTATAATAAATGCCATGACGCCTTTAAAATATTAAATTAACGCTGCATTTCTCTATAATAAATATTTAAAAATAAATACATTAAGCCGGAGGATATAGGGGTGCGGCTATGGGTGAGCGCGATGCCGCAACTCTACGTGTGAGTAAATTGCGGGATGGAGGCTATACGGGTTCGGCTTGCCATACTATAGCAAAATTAATTTCCAAGTAAAATATACTTGAGCAAAGGGTTTTTTAAACGAAATAAACTGCAAATAGCCTATAATATATAATACAGTGTATGGAAGACGACATTCAGAACTATTAACCAACTGTCATGTTTCGTGAGACACCCTGCATCAAGAAATTTCGTCAATTTCATCAAGGAACAGAGAATGAGTTTCTTTTTTTCTATTTAGAGCGACCACGAAAAGAAGTTTCACAAAATAGTCAACAACAGCTTCAAAGAGAAACCTTCGAAACGGGATAGGTATTTGATTTTTTTAATTTTATGCAAGGGGATGAAGACATTTAATATTTTACAATAATATCTTCCCACGCCACTTTGTATATAGCATAAATTACATAATTTCTGCCATTTTTTATACTCTAACTTTTTCCTGATTTTCAAATGTCGGTTTTTTTATCTCTCATTATTTAATTCTGTATATTTTTGTTAAGTTCACCTCAGGGATCCGTATTTTTATATTTTTTGTACCCGGATCCTAAGCACTACTATAGCATGTATGAAACTTGGTTTAGATGTAACATGATCCCAAGACCCAAAACAAAGTTGTAAACTTGTTAATGGAAGACAATCAATTCTATACTTCACAATCTTGTGTTCAGTAGTATATAAAGGAGATCATTAACATCAGGAAATTATTAAAACGTGGTCTTAATCAGCAGTAAAAAATTGATCTTAGTCCGAGTACCGACATATACATTCATTTACATAAACATAAATATAGTGAGGTCTGTATACCCACATATACATTCATATACATAAACATACAGTGAGGTCTGTATACTTACATATACATTCATATACATAAACATACAGTGAGGTCTGTATACCCACATATACATTCATATACATAAACATACAGTGAGGTCTGTATACTCACATATACATTCATATACATTAACATACAGTGAGGTCTGTATACCCACATATACATTCATATACATAAACATATATATACAGTGAGGTCTGTGTACTCACATATACAATATACATAAACTTTAAATATATATATATACAGTGTGGTCTGTATACTCACATATACAATATACAAAAACTTTAAACATTCAAATACATATTGAGATAACCAGAAAACGGTGGAATTCTTGTTTTCTTGATTTTGAAATGTCAAAATTTTTAAAACAGATTTTAACCTAAGTGCTCATTATGCTCTTTTGACCATGCCTTCCTGTTTGTTAGTATTTTTATGATTATTAACTAGCTAATGTGCCCGGCGTTACCCGTGGAATTATTTTACTCTAAGGGTACCCTACAGTTGCCTCAAAAAAATTCGGTCCAGCTGTTTGGACAGCTTTAGCATATATATATATGTAAATATACTAGCTTGAGAACCCATCGCTGCCAAGTTTACTAAAAGTTACTCCCGCCGTTTACCCGAACTTGAATTTTCGTGATTAAAGTCGACCCACTCAACTTAGCCCCATGCTAAGAACATTTCCGTGGGTCTCTCGAGTTCCCCAATCAAATTTGTAAGGCAAATCGGTTCATTGGTTCTTGAGTTATGATCGGACAAACAAACAGACAAACGGAGATTACAACCTGATATATATAGATAACTGAAGAGGAGGAATCCGAAACTATTTGTATGAATAAATATGAAAACTGGGAAACTGCTCTGATTATTGCTTTATAGTTATGTCTATATAAACATACAAATATATATGTATATTAGCGAAGAGCTTTATTATATAGATATTGTTCCCAGGAATTTACCGAATGGTGGAGCTCCCCGTGTTCTTTGTCCAACATGTGGTTTTGAATGCTGCACAAAGGTAGTTTTTACACTGATAGAGTTTTTATAACCTCGTCTTACAAAACATTCTGCATAACTGTTTTATTCTCATTCAAATTCATAGCTTGTCAACTGAATTTGAAGTTAGGTTATAATTTATGAAGAGAACAGGACATTTAATACTAGCTGAGGTCCCTAGCCGTTGCCCATGTGAAAAAAATTCGAATTTTGAAAAAAATCAAATTTTACAGCCTTTGCTACCCATAGGTTTTTCTCACACCAATTCAAACAATTTTGTCTAGTCGTTATGGCCAGCTGACTATATACAAATATATAAATGTAAGTACAGTACAGTACAGTACAGTACAGTACAGTTGCAGTTGCAGTTGCAGTTGCAGTTGCAGTTGCAGTACAGTTGTAGTACAGTTGCAGTACAGTTGCCGTACAGTTGCAGTAAGATTGCAGTAAGATTGCAGTACAATTGCGGTACAATACGATGCAGCTCTGTATAGCTAGTACCATTATGAATAGTACCTTTTGAGTACATATAATACATTACAGTATAGCTTGCATTTCAGCACAGAATAGTACATGTCAGTTCAGAATAGTACATTTTGGTGCTGAAAACTTTTCTGTACAGTCGTAAATATCTCGTAAACCTGGTATAGCTCGTAATCCAATCCCTTGGTAAACATGTTTCAATTTCATCCATTTACAACTTCACAAAGAACATCAAGTATAAAACCAGGAAATGAAATATGTTGTAATATCTGAATTACAATTATTTTCTTTATACGACACAAAATACCACCTCTTTAAGTAATGTTACACATTATTTAGGAATTTAAAAAAACAGAATATTGGATATTTATATAACTGTGGAACTGGAAGACGACTTGTTGATATACAGCAGCTAGTTTTACTTGTAGCATGAATATGTTATTTACTAAAATGGGTCAGTTTACTGTTGAAAATCGTGAAATGATTCAAACGGCCGTCTTTCTATTACACAATTTTTTTATATCCTATTTTTATATATCCTATTTTTATATATCCTATTTTTTTATATCCTATTTTTATATATCCTGTTTTTGTATATCCTATTTTGAGTAATTATTTGTTTAGTGGGTTCTGGAGAATCATATAAGAAAGTGGCATGAAAATGCGTTTGCTGAACCAAAAATCTGCGAACTCTGTGTTAAACCAGACTCATCAAACTTTAGCAGGAACACATAACAGCAATAACAATAATAATTAAAATAACATAAACGATTACGATAATAATAACAATATTAATGATAATCCCCCCCCCCAGCATATCCTGGTTTTCAAGTACCTCAACAGAGATAGGGTTAAACAACATTTTTAAATAACATTTTTAATAAAGAGGACTTTTTGAAATTGTTACTGTTAATACTAAGAATCAATCTTTATTATATGAATCCGCTGTTTCTTTGTAAAACAAATAAATGATGAAAAATCCATGTTCTTTGGCTTATCACACTTTTTATTTTAAAATATTTGATTTATATATTCGATGGATACTTTTTATTCTGATATGGGTATAACCGGCATCTATATATACTTTGCTTGAGTGTCTGCCTTTTTGTTTGTTTGTTTGTTTGTTTGTTTATTTGTTGTATCCAATAAACGTCAAAACGGCTGATTCGATCGGGCCCAAACTTTTAATGGGACCTCACATGACCCCAAAGAAGGTATATGATGGGTGATCGAATTTTCAAAAATTTGCCTGTAACAAAATTCGATTTTTGACAACTTTGAGATTTCACAACATTCTTTTATAAAATCTGCCAAATTTTTTTGTTCGTTTTTGTTTTCAATGTAAACAAAGGGAACCTATTCACGCCCTAAAAGTCTAGTTTAAGTAAAAATCTTTTTAAATCTTTTTTAGTCCTTTTTTATATAATTTTGCCGTGTTTAGAATAATAAATTGTTCAGTTGATGTCATAAAATAATAGTTGTTTATTTGATATAATAAAATAATATTTGATTCGTTGATATGATAAAATAATAGTTGTTTAGTTGATATGATAAAATAATAGTTGTTTAGTTGATATGATAAAATAATATTTGTTTAGTTGATATGATAAAATGATAGTTGTTTAGTTGATATGTGTATTTGTAGACGAAAGTACTATACACCTTACTCATTGGAAAAACACAAGGAAGAAAAATAAAAATAATTTGTTTTTGAGAAAACATTTATCTTCTAATAATGTTTTATAAATGTCCTAAAATAATCTTGTAATTATGAATTAAATTGACTGACAACGTAATTTTGCTTGACCTCCTGATTTATATCAGCAAGCATCAGGAAGATATTATTCTTTTTAAAATCGTGTTGAATTCTTTCAACTTTTTTCTCTTTCTTTGATGCTTTAATACGCAAATCACACAAAAAAACACTGTCTGATTTACAATGGTACTATTTAAACCTCTATGAAGTTACAAAGGAGAATATTTCGCCTTTTCTATTTTAAAAATTTTTTGAATTTTGTTAATATTCTTCAATGTTTCTTTTTAATAAATCCGCGGAGTCAATTTAAGTAAATCATGATTAAAAACAATTAATTTTCAGATAGAAAGCAGGATAATTTTATAAATATTGGTCAGACATTCAATTTTAAATCATCTGAAATTATATTCACAGTCCCTTTTAATCTCTGCGGGTTTAATTTTAAAGATTGTAATCGAGGATGATTTTTTTATAAATATTAAACTTCTAAATTAAAACTTTTTAAATCGGATTTGTTTTTTTTCAATTAATCCTCAAAATTTTATTTTGCTGCCTATTTAGAGTGAATATCATGGAGCTGATTGTCATGAAATCATCTGTGAACACTGTTCAAAAGTATTTAAAGGTAAAAGTACAGATTTAACGAATAGTTTTGCTGATCTTGTAAATAAAACAAAATGTTAGGATATGTATTTGTGTATGTAAGATACCTTCAGTTGGCTAGATCTTAACACCTCAAGAGATGATAAAAAAATGGTAAAAATAAAGAATATATATATTCAAATAAACGAAAAGGAATGAAGTTTTTGCCACAAAGCCTTTATTTTCCAATCCCTAATCTGAGCAACCCGATGTCGTAGACCTTAGATATTACTAACTATAAATTCTGTTAAATCAATTGATCTAGGTTTAAAATGTCAACGGTTTACACCATTAGGTTGCAAAGATATATTCATTAGAATACTTGATTATATGGTGAAGTCTTAATTTCTTTGTCCTGCATGGAATACAATCTAGATTCTAGTGGAACTATTCTGTATATTTGTTTGTGTCCACTGTCCAACGCAATTATTCGTTCAGTTTTTATTACTTGCTTTTACATTTTTGAGATTTTTGTCAACTGTTTCTACATTTTGAGATTTTTGTCAACAGTTTCTACATTTGGAGGTTTGTGTCAACTGTGTCTACACTTTGAAATTTGGTGTCAACGGTTTCTACATTTAGAGATTTTTCTCAAATTGATTTTTGTCAATTTTACATTTTGAGATTTGTGTCAACTGATTCTACATTTTGAGATTCGTGTCAACTGTTTCTACATTTGGAGGTTTTTGTAAACGGTTTCTACATTTTGAGGTTTGTGCCAACGGTTTCTACATTTTGAGATTTGTGTCAATTCTACTTTTTGAGATTTGTGTCAACTGTTTCTACATTTTGAGATTTCTATCAACAGTTTTTACATTTGGAGGTTTGTGTCAACTGTTTCTACATTTTGAGATTTGTGTCAATTCTACATTTTGAGATTTGTGTCAACTGTGTCTACACTTTGAAATTTGGTGTCAACTGTTTCTACATTATGAGATTTGTGTCAATTCTTCATTTTGAGATTCGTGTCAACTGTTTCTACATTTTAGATTTTTGTCAACTGTTTCTACATTTTGAGATTTCTATCAACAGTTTCTACATTTGGAGGTTTGTGTCAACTGTTTCCACATTATGAGATTTGTGTCAATTCTACATTTTGAGATTTGTGTCAACTGTTTCTACATTTTGAGATTTGTGTCAAACGTTTCTACATTTTGAGATTCGTGTCAAAAGGTTCTACATTTTGAGATTTGTGTCAAAAGTTTCTACATTTTGAGATTCATGTCAACTGTTTCTACATTTTGAGATTCGTGTCAACTGTTTTTAAGTTCTTTTACATTTTTAATTGTCAATTTGTTTTATATTTTTAAGATTTGGGTCAGCAATTTTAAATATATATTATAATGTATGTTTCATTTATTTTCACATTTTCGAGATTTTACTCAGCTGATCTAATTTTTGAGTTTCAAAGAGACAAAATTATTATCCTAGGTCCATCTTGGTATTAAGTATTCTTGCGATCAGTGCAATAAAGAGTTTCTGACAGACAAAACCTTGTCCAGCCACAAGAGACATGTTCACCGAAAGGAAGGAAATTATCCATGTAAGGAGTGTGGAAAAGTGTTCAGCTATTATCTTCAGGAAATGATCACTAACAAATCTGAAAATTATTAAATTTTGATTGGAGTTAATAAATACCAAATGAAAAATATTATTGGGTTTAAACTTGCAGATAAGTTCATTCGAACTTATTAGATAAAGCTTAATTTAAAGGGATTGACCGGCTAGACATGGTAGTTGAGCTGAGAGTGCAGTATTGCAGATATCGTTATGGATTCTCATGTTAACGTAATTTTTTCCGGCCTTGACAATCCATGAGAGGATTTTAAAGATTGAATTTGTGCTCTTGCTTATCAATTGTAAACTTTAAAACGTCTTTTAAGTATCAAATAAATTCTGTAAAATATCTCTGCAATTCTGCACTCTCAGTTCAACTTCCATGTCTAGCTGGTCACTCTCTTTAACCATAAAACACAAAAAAAAATCCATAATTTCAAAAGCAGCGCCATAAATGGACGGGCAAAAGGAGGCAAGAAAAAGAGAACCTGCAGACATGCAGACAGAGAAAGGAGAAAAAAGCTGAACATTTGAATTTATCAACTTTGCCCCGTACCATTTTATTTTAAAAAACTATTTAAAAAAAAACCTACAATTAAAAAAAATTTAAATTCGTACTTTTTGTTAATGATGTTGCACCCAGGCCGTAGAGCATGCATACAAGGATAGAGGGGAGGCCCCTCATCAATGTAAATTCTGTGATTTCCGTTCAGCGCACTCGTGGGCCCTAGCTAAACATAGACCTGTCTGTAAATATAAGGTGATTTTATTGAGAATATTGAGCGTAGAAGGGTCTAAAAAGGAACATTGATAGTTATAGAAAAAAACGGTAGTTGACATGAAGTGGATTTCGACCTTCTTAAGACCAAAGGTGTCATCACAAGAAGTTATATGTTGTTCAATGTGCACTCTAGCTTTTCCCATTTAACTAATTATATAGGCAAAAGTCAGAAAGCATCCAGTTTTTATCTATATATGGATCAAACAAAATTTGACTTATAGCATCCAGTTTTCATCTTTATATGGATCAAACAAAATTTGAATGTCTGCAGGCAAACTTTCAACTTACTATCTCATTTTTTTGTCAACACACTTGATCTCTAAAAAAGTTGAATTGTCGTTTACCGAAATGAACTTTGTTTCTAAAATAATTTTGTTCCAAGTCAGGGAACCAGATTATTGGAAAAATAGTTCCACGTTGAAACTATGCAAGTTGTTTTGAGTCGATAAACGTATATATTGTATAATGTAGGGTACCTCTAAAGAACTAGCTGGAGAAATACAACAGAGAGAACTGCTTTTAGCCCAGGGAGATATACAGCAGCGTGATCTGCTTCAGGGAGAGATCCATCAACGGGAGCTTCTCGTCCTTGCCCAGGAAGAGATTCAGCAGCGGGAGCTTTTGCACAACCATGATCAGCAGCGAGATATCATTAGTAGGGAGCATCACAAGTTTGTTACAAGAGACTTCATGCAGCACAGATTACATATGTGATAACTGCTTCCGATATGCACCCCCCNCGTCAGTTGTATAGTACGGGCCGGGTCATGTACATTGTGTAAGGATTTATATTCCTCGGCGGCCAGTACTATCACTTTACTGAGGCCTGAAACAGCAGTTTTATACTTTTTATAATATTTTACATCCTAAAGAAAACTTTAACATAATGCACAAAAATTACCTAAATGTAAATATTTTGTAAGTAAATTATCAAATATGTATCAGATTGTACCTGTTTAAATCACAAGAATTGTTATGCTAAATAATACTGAACTACAACAAACGTACAATTTAACTTCTCTTGGAGTACTTTAACAAATCTCTGCATCACAACTTTGTTAGATATAAAAACTGAATATTCCACATTTGTAGAAAAAAATGGCGGAAATTTTGCAGGATCCCCCTCCTCTTCCATCCATCTCACATCAGGATATTCAAGTAAGATTTCCCCCTCCTCTTCCATCCATCTCACATCAGGACATTCAAGTAAGATTTCCCCCTCCTCTTCCATCCATCTCACATCAGGATATTCAAGTAAGATTTCCCCCTCCTCTTCCATCCATCTCACATCAGGACATTCAAGTAAGATTTCCCCCTCCTCTTCCATCCATCTCACATCAGGATATTCAAGTAAGATTTCCCCCTCCTCTTCCATCCATCTCACATCAGGATATTCAAGTAAGATTTTCCCCTCCTCTTCCATCCATCTCACATCAGGACATTCAAGTAAAATTTATATGTACACAAGGGGACCCATAAAACTGTGAAACAGCAAAGACGACTGATAAAATTATTCATTATATTTATTTTCTTTAATTATTTTTAAATGAAATGAATAACCCTGGTGCAACAACGATGAAAAAAAGATGTTCTTGCGCGTATTTCCGTTCAGAGAGAAATGGTTACTTTTGGAAATTTGACTTTAAACTTTATAAAGATGGGTCAAACATGAAAGATGGTTGACTGGATACCTGTTACAGAAACCTTACTTCATGAACATTATAATTTTTTGTTTGTTCAGGAAGCTACTCAGGTTGATACTGAACTAGGATTAACCCCAGATCAAATTCAACAATTTCATCAGCTGGGAGCATCTACTCCCAACTTCCTCCATCCTGTACTTCACTACCAGCTGCAGGGCACTTGGGAAACCCCTAGCGGCAAGTTTGTGAACTATATAATTCTCAAGGACAGTTTAGAAAGTAAAGTTGATATTTCCAGGTAACATAAATCTAGGGCGTTACGTTAATCTGTATTTCACTTGTGGGGGGGGGGGCGAGTGGGAAGCGCGACCCCTGGAAAATCCCCCCCCCCAAAAAAAAAGTGAATTTGGGGGCGTAAAAAGTGGAAATATGGTAAACAACTACCATATTTCCCGGAAAGAAAATATTTACTTAATTTATTAACTTAGAAATCGAGGTAGAAGGGCACTTCGCTGCCTACTTGCGGAAATTGTTGGGNTCACTGAACCGATTTTCCAGTGGGGAATATTTTCCGTAACATTTCACAGGTTCCAAACCTTATTTGTTTTGGAAAAATGTTGTTAACATCTGAAAATTTCTTTAGTTAGCGTAAAGTTAATTTATAAGTTAACAACTAAAAACACGATACTTAGTTAGACATTAGACATTTTCATTGATCTAACGGATGGATTGAAGAAATACCAACAGATGAAAACTTTCGACGTATTTATTTTAGGATTTATTTCAACATTGAAGATATTAATAAATGCCGCGGGTTCAATCTGGATCTATCAGGAGTAAATGACAGGTAAAGGGGCTGTCGGTGTAATTTCAATTGACTTTACTCTTTAATAGGTGCATTACCAATTCTCGTTGGAACCCTCTGAAGATTTGACTAAGTTAACAGGATATGGTGTAATCCTTGTTTTTTAGCTAAAAAAAGGATTATTTTTAATTATGCCAATTGTTCTGCAGATTTATTGAAGATGTGATCCGCATGATGCCAATTGTTCCGCAGATTTATTGAAGATGTGATCCGCATGATGCCAATTGTTCCGCAGATTTATTGAGGATGTGATCCGCATGATGCCAATTGTTCCGCAGGTTGATTGAAGCTGTGGTTATTAGGTCACATATTTTGAGAATGTTTTAAATTATTAAATAACGACGTCATAATTAGTTGTTTAGGAATAGGATTAAGAAAATAAAAATGAACTATTATTATCGAAAATAAGTCATCTTATCCAGTTATTGGTTTATGTTTCATTGTTCATAAACATTTTCTGAAGATTTTCTGGAATTTTTACTGAAAAGACGACATTTGAAGAATTAGAAGAAATCTCCGAACTAATTCATATAGAATAAGAAATTTAATATAATGATTAAAAAGAAATAATCGATTTTAACATTGAGTTAACGAGAAAATTTTAATTGAGAAATATGTTCTTAAAAGTTTACTGTATACTATAGTGAGACTCATAAAACACTGAAAAGACCACTACTAGACTCATTATTTTAGATAGTTCAATGGACATGAAAAATAAATTGCCCAATGTGCAGTGTACCCAGACTCATGTTACTGCTGGCTTTTAACGTAAAAAAAAAAAACATATGATGTCTTAATTGTTGTTTCCAATTCCTCTATTTTCATTTTGTTCCTATTTAGGTATCATCTGAATCTATTAAACTTGATCCTTGAGTTTCCACATAGTGAGCTAGTGATGGATCTCTTTAAAGAATTTCTCAACAGCCTCAATCCTCTTGCCAGTACAGAGGTCACTGAACCCTTGTCAACACCCAGGTCAGTCTTCACGTACAGGGTTCACTGAACCCTTGTCAACACTCAGGTTAGTCTTTACGTACAGAGTTCACTGAGTACAGAGTTCACTGAACCCTTGTCAACACCCAGGTTAGTCATCACATACAGAGTTCACTGAACCCTTGTCAACACTCAGGTTAGTCTTTACGTACAGAGTTCACTGAACCCTTGTCAACACCCAGGTTAGTCTTGACATACAGGGTTCACTGAACCCTTGTCAACACTCAGGTTAGTCATTACGTACAGAGTTCACTGAACCCTTGTCAACACCCAGGTTAGTCCTCACGTACAGAGTTCACTGAACCCTTGTCAACACCTTGGTTAGTCTTGACATACAGGGTTTACTGAACCCTTGTCAACACCCAGGTTAGTCCTCACGTACAGAGTCCACTGAACTTCTCTCATCACCATAGGATTCCACTTCTCCCCTGATATTTAGCACATTTAACATGGGTTTATAACACGATTATGGACATGTTTTAATAGTAACCAGCTAATTTATTTGCTCTTCATGTCGAATTACTATCTAATTGAATAATTAGTTGATGAGGTTATACTGCCTAATGATAAAAGATTTATCTGGAATGTACTTTTTTAAAAAATAGTATAGCAAATTTAATAAAATTTTACTTTGTCTTCTTTGATCTAGTAGGGACTTCTCTTCTGTTGTCTTGTTTTCTATTAGGAACTTCGGGGGTTTCCCTCTGCTCTGTCCACCTGAGAAGTTCAAGTTTTTAACCTGTTACTGATCTTATTTAAGCAAATTCGTTATTTTGTTTTATTTCATTTTGAAATTCAGATAAAGACTTTATCTGCCATATTTCCATATTCTATTTTCCTTTTAACCAAAATAATTACTTGGTAGTTCTAGAATTAGGAGAGATTGGTTTGCTGTTTTCGCTTCTCGTAACGTGCAATTCATCCTGGAGTGTTGCTTTGCTGTTAGAGCTTATCTCGTCCTTGAATGCTTCATCATAGGAATGATTCCATCCTTTACTATAGTCTGTACTTCTCGACCTTTAAAAATGTATCTAAATTTGAGTTAAATTTTAAAATCATTTTCCATTCCCCTATCTCTTTCATTGAATATAAGATTGAAAGTTTAGATATTACTTGTTGTGAGCATATGTTCCTCTTCTGTTTTCTTGGTTTTTATATTGGTGTTTGAAAGGACAAGCTCGTTCCCTCCAACATCTTCCATTTTGATAAAACTTACAGATTTTCATTCTATCTGTAATAAATTTCATTAGCCCTTTATAGCTAATAAAGAGATCCTTTCATTTGAATCATAGGGTTCCACATACCCGGTTGTGCTTCCTAATTTTCAATTTGTGCCAAGCTGTCAGCATCTAAATTGTAGTAGAACTTTTGATTGGTGCCAAGATGTCCTCATAAAAATTGAAGTAGAACTTGAAGTGTAAGCGTAAAAATTGAAGTGGTCTGATTATAAGAAGTTTGCATTGAATTGTCATTTATAGATATTTTNGTTGAAAGAGGTCCTATTATTTCAATTGGATTATTTCGATTGGATTTTGCCTTGGGGGGTTGAGAAATAGTTGAAAGTTGTCCGATTATATTAATTATGAATTGAACTGTAATTTACTGCTATTTTAGTAAATTAAGTTTAAACCTATCTTTATTAAGTCTGTCAACCCCCCCAGCAAAATCCAATCGGCCGGCCCCCTGGGGGGGGGAGGGTGGGGGGGTTGAAAAATAGTTGAAAGAGGTCCTATTATATCAAGTTTCAGTTAAATTGTGATTTTCTGTATTTCTTGGTGAAAAAAATATTTATTTTCGACAAAAAAATAAGTTACTAAAATCTCAATTGCAATTTCATCTTTCAAGTTATTGCCATTTGGTTTTTGAACTGCATTGTCCATGTTTCTGCTATGCCTAGTTTGGAGGGGACAGGCCAAACAATGTCAAAAATATGGCCTTTTTCGCTTATTTTCGTCAAAATCGACCAAAATTATTTTTTTTGAAAATTTTTAATTATGCCTTCCGACACCCTAGAAAAACTTTAAAGGCCATTAAAGATAGCAGGAGATCTTGGAGAATACGTTTCCAGGTTTTAAAATCTTAAAATCTACCGCCAAACGTTGAAGAAATGACAAAGTGTTTAAAATATTTTTCCGAAAATCACTATTTTTCACAAATATTTTCACAGAAACGCCCATAACTCGCTCATTTTTCAATATTTTTTCAATCCGATTTTTCCAGTGCATTCTAGAGATTCGTGTGCATCTTTATTGGTGCGCTAAAGTTTTTTACGACCCGTCGTTCCAAAAACGGCTTTTTTCACCCAATTATTAAGCCGCCACGCCTTTACTATACATTTTACGGACACGCCTCTTTTATAATGAAATCTTGCATTTTCTTTTCCGATTCCGCCGGTACCTTTGAATTTCCTCTATCTTGTCTAGAACTTGTGTTTTGACCGAAAACGTGTTTTCTTTTAAATTTTCCAATAATCCAAATTTCTCTCTGTTGAAATCGTGGAGTAATCTCGCAACTTTGGTAAATCCGATGACTCTTTCTCGCATACTACTGAAAACTATAAGGAATTTGCTTTGCAAATTTCCTATTATAGTTTTCCTGGACAAGACTTGAATCCCGAAGCCGAGTAACAACCGTATGGATTGCATAACGTATGGATCGGATAGCGTATGGATTGGATAGCGTATGGATCAGATAGCGTATGGATCAGATAGCGTATGGATCAGATAGCATATGGATCAGATAGCGTATGGATCGGATAGCGTATTGATCGTATAGCGTATGGATCGGATAGCGTATGGATCGGATAGCATATGGATCGGATAGCGTATGGATCGGATAGCGTATGGATC